TTTTTTGCGTCAACACCATGTAATCGGGGATTTTGAAGGGAATTACATGGTCTACAGATCTATGCGTTTCGCCGTTATCGGATAAAAGACAGTCCTTAATTACTTAGATATCGTACACGATGTATGCAAATATATGCATTTCAGATTTAGTCTCTAAATTTTTGAAGGCCTATGGACAAATGTACCAAAGTTCATGATTTTGGCATTTTGTTCAAATGTACAAATGCTCTCTTTGGGTGTATTTCTTTCACATTCCATCAATTTTGAAAGAAACAAATATTGTATTGCATTTTATGATCATTATTATATATTTGAAGAGCAATCTACATAATCAAAATTCATTTTTGGCCGGCATCCGAATTCTTACTTTGTTATAATTCGTTTTAACATTTTTTCTTCATTTGCTTTTGTTTGCATTTTCTCTCAGCGTTTTTCCCCATTACATAGTCAAGTGGGAAATTGTTTTCCAGCAGTCTTCATTCATTCATGGGGGTTAATACAAAACAATGCCAAACTCTAGGATGTTTAATGAGATGTCAGAAATTAGGGCAATAGCCTAATTACTATAGGTAATTTAGATCAGCCTTGGGACACAACATTCCCTTAAATCGTTTACAGAATCGATCGTGCTAAGTTTTTTCTCTCGATATTTCCGAATAGATAGTAGGTTTTTAGAACAGCCTCAATCTTCAATCTCCTCCTTCTCGATGGTGGATCCAGAATTATCTAGAGTAGGGGCGCACATTATTCTCTGACGAGCAAACAAGCAAGTAAACTAGCTAGCAAAAAAAATATATATAAAAAAACGTCAGGAGATGAGGGTCAATCAGCCCATCCCCCCTTTTTTCGTCCTCATTCCCCCTCTTCTTTTTGAGTGGGGGGGGGGGGGGGCACCTGTATACCCAGCGCCTCCTTGGATCCACGACTGCCCGCTTTTGTATACCGCATTCCTATATGGTGTCGCGAATCGGGGACAAGTATAACTACAACCTCGTTATCATTCGGTAATTATCTTCTAGGGTAAAATTAGCATCAAAGCGATTCGCCAAAGTTGGCCGCCTTGGAAAAAGAGTATTACACCTAAGGGTTTAAATAAGTTAATAGAAGATAATGACGACTAGACGGTTGCTAGGTTGGAAGCAAGCAAGTGTATGCGAACGTGACGGCTCAAACTTTGCAGAGAAGCTTTTGAAGGGCCTGGCGAGTACTATTTTTTGTAGACCCTCTGATTCATCTAGTTAAAAATATATAGTATACCCCTCCCTCCATGTCTAAGATTGTTGGTATGTTAATGAGAACTGGAAATACTCAAGTATATGCCTTCGACCGAATTTCCGTGAACCTTTTCTGAAGTCATATATTATTTAAATTCTCAACCCATATCCTCTGAACGGGGTCAAATCAGGACTTAAAATAATAACGATATGCCTGCTTGTCTTGTGAAAATAAAATTTCCGTGAACTTACATAATTATATAATTATATTATTTAAATTCTTAACCCATATCCTCTGAACGGGGGTCAAATCAGAACTCAAAACATTAACGATATGCTTGTCTTGTGAGAATACATCTCTGTTGTTCCTTTTGGAAGGCTGTCGTCTTTTGTCTGTTTTTCCTAATTCAATGTCAATGTAATTAATAGGCAAGATGATACTGTAAGTTCAATTCCAGACTTTCATCTGAATTTCAGAAGCTTTGAAAATTAATTGGTCTAAAAGCGATGTATTTCCCGTGAAATTTGTTCGTCTGCAAAATAAATATATTCGTGCAGGTTAATAATAGCTCGTTCTTGCAATATTGAGGTTACAATCTCACTTAGAATGCCAGATTTACATTTTGATTGATAATTGGAATATACTTAGTTTTTCTTTAGCTATTACACAATATCGATCTAAAGTGTTTGGAACATATAGGACTACCAATAAAACAATTATAGGGTGAAATCTTTTCTTTACATTTTAGTCTGGAGGTAATTAGAGACATAGATACAAAATAAGCAGTATGTCAAACGATAACCCCAAATTAATGATTATTATAAACAGTCACAATAATTGTTTTTCAACTTTATTTTTATACATTATATTATAGCACATTTTATTATGTATCATATATTGTACATTTGATAATATATTCATCTATCACATAATATTTATTCTGCAGTAAATATTTTGTATTGATAAATCATACATCACATACTATAAATCATGTGACTACTTTGCATTGTATGTTTCATTTTCAGCCTGTTGCCTTCACTCTCCTTACTTTGCTCTTCAACTATATGTCTCAAGACCCTAATCGAAATCTTGTTATAATGTTATCCCTCTCCTGAGATGACCTTTAATATGTTCAAAATAAAGAATACCAATAACCTATAGACATGGTATAGTTTCGCACAATTCCGATCCAAATTTGACACTTTTGTAAAACGTGTTTTTTTTCTGACGCCGCCAGTCTGTTATCTAGAAGGATGTGTAATATGTTTACTAATTAGGAGTGTTGGGGGACGATGGCAAACAAGTTTTGCTAGCTCACATCATGGGGTCATTTGCCCAGGGGACTTGGCAAACATGTCGGGTAAACATGGTCTAAATGATTGTAGAGTATATACATACATGCAGGGGACAGCATCGTAAGAGTTCAGGCAATGGTGACATAAAATGATGTCTTTTTCGAAGCGTTTATTGTTTCCTGTTCGTGAGTAAAATTAACATACCCCAAATTAAATTAAAGATTACAAAGCAAGATGTCATTTTATGCCTTTTTGCCAAGGTGTTTTAATTATGTTGTTGGGCAGCTATAGAAAGGGAAAAGAAAGAGATAGAGGGAAATAAATGGAAGAGTAAGCGCGTGTGTGTGTGCGGTTGTGTGTGGTGGTGTGTTTGTGTGTGTGAGAGAGAGAGAGAGAGAGAGAGATGACAAGAAAGACAGAAAGAGAGACAGGTGGCACCACCACCATAACCATCATCATATATCATCATCGACATCATCATCATTATATATCATCACCATCACTACCATCGTCATCATCATCACTACCATCGTCATCATTATCATTATATATCATCACCATATAATCATCACCATCATTATATAACATCATCTTCACTATCATCATCATCATCATCATCATCATCGTCACTATCATCTTTATCATCATCATCACCATCATTGTACATCATCACCATCACTATCATAATCATCATTATCGTGATTTTCATCATCATCCTCATCAATATCATCAACATCATCAATGTTTCACTGAAATGTCTTAATCCTATAATAACCCAACTCCTCACATAAAATGCATGCGTACACCATTAACCCAAACATTCCTGATATCTTCACTACCTTTGATATTTTCTTAAGAGAAATTAAATGAATTTAAACACAATCAAAAGATGTGTTTCTTGTGAGAACAGGCGTTTTATTCAGTTTGTGAACAAGAATATATACATCCGCGTATTATACAATATATCGTACAAATATCAAGATAAACTCTCTATGTTCTCGATTCAATTTGTTAATGTAAGAAAAAAAAAACTCTCTATACAACAATTACAAAAAGCATTGAATATCAAAATATTTCACGGCAGCACCTATAAATACATCTTTACTTGCACGTGCGTTTCATAGCGTCAGTGGGGATTTTAAACATTAATTTCGAATTTGCGTTACAGTATATCCGTCAACAATGAATATCTCAATTGTTAACCAGGCACAGAAAAAAGTACACAGATTAAAAGGGCCTTTAAAAAACATTTGCAACCGAGCACAATGACTTTAATTACATTCTACACCTTTAAAAAGTTAAATTATATTTCCATTAAACATTTGTGCCCAATGATATTGATCATGCTCTTTTGAAAGCACTTTTCATTCTCATTAATCAAATTGAAAATTATTTTTCCTGAAATATTTTTGACCGAGCACATTCACAATACCATCTACAGGGTTTCATCGTTACGTATGAATCAAGTCGGGATTTGTAGAAAGTATCTTTTAAAACAACATTTTTTACGCTTGTAATCTAAAATCTTTTTCATAATTCGTTATAAAAATACTATTCCTTGGAGCATTATTGAATAGAAATAACCATAAATTTTTTGAAGAGGCAAAATATCTGTAAAATATCTCATACATTGTTTAAGAGGTTACAGTTCTCTAAATGGATTGTCAATAATTTTGATACTAAAATATCAAGATAAAAGTAACTCGCAGTATTCACCAGATCATTTCATCTTGCTAATACTGTATACGTTTATCACCATCAGTGTTTCAATTTAAATCGGCCTCTGTGTATTCCACTCTTTCCATTTCTGCAACACTCTCTTAATGCGTAGGAGTGAAATTTCCTCTCCTTTTAGATTTTAATTCAATTCAAATGTTAGTGGGATTCACTCCAAAGATGAGGAGTGAATCACGATTATGACCTCTTAAAGAGTGGATATCCACTCCTGCGCATTGGAGACATGAAAGACAACAATAATTATATAGTTCTTCATAATAATACTTCATATCCTGACCTGAAAGACAACCTCAACAAAAATCCATTTTCATCATATTCCTCTTCTTATTACAGTTCTCATAATAATTGTTAATCGCTCCACTACATTCATTACATTGTGACTGTCGATCACAAGGTCCGCGATTCGAGTCCCGCCGCTGCACTAATGTCCTTTGGCAAGACATTGATCTACATTTGCCACACTCCACCCAGGCGAAGTAAATGGGTACCTGGTAGGAATTTATTCCTTGAAACGCAGCGCGCGTAACAGCTGCACTGCTAAAGCCAGGGTAATTATTCTGCATTATTGTAGAGCGCTTAGAGACTTCTGACAAAGTAAGTGTTAGGCGTTATATAAGCACTGTAATTATTTATTATTATTATTTTCAATAATGACCAATTTCATATTTAATACTATAATATTCGTCTATATCCTTGCATTCGCCATTTCTATTTCATGCACTTGTCATTGAAAGGATGATCATACTGTTTTTCCATACCACATTACCTCATTCAATTGATTTATTATCAAGATACTTGGGAGGGGGCTGAAGCCGCCAAGCCCCGTAACCCCTATAACCCCTACTGGAGTTCCTTATTTAAACCATCGTTACTCACCCTTTTGGACATTCGAAATGGTAAAAAACGGCACACATATGTTTTTATCTTTAAAAGTGGAATATACCAAAAGCATGTTCTTTTCCAGTTCAACAAATATCACCACCAGTCTCACAATTAAGAACCTTTTAATGAATTTTATCAGCTGAAAACGTTTTTGGGAATTTTAACACAAACTATGTTCAAAACTCTGAGTAAATCTATAAATAATCATTCGAAGTTTGCGCCTTATGTGCAATAAGGTGTATTTTTAAAGTATAATTTAACAGGAAATATCTTACCTAACCCAACAATATATAGATAAATGGGAACATAGACGATATGATTTGCTATACGGAAATGTACAGTAAAAGCCTACATGTTGCCGCACACGTGCAATTTCTCAACCCTATGATAACAATAACTATTTGGTAGCAGGCATTTCTTTGCGTTACCAAGATTTTTGTTTGTGTCGTCACCGCAAAAACTTGTCATGGTCTCGTTTAAGAAAAGGGCCAAGGGAAAGTTTAAATATTGACCAGACTGCAAACAATAGGAACAAGAGACGGACCGTCAGAGCTCCTGGAACTTACAACGTGAGCTTGGGAAAGGGCCAAACCGAAGAATAGGACCTTTTAAAACTACATGGCCGAACAAAGACATGAAAGCTACTCGCCTATTACCCTAATACTGCGCAGCACCGTAAAAAGAGCTGTAGCTACCATAATTGCAACGAGAAATCGATTTGAGGAACACCGTTCAATTTGACATCGCTAAATTGATTGAGACACTGTTAAACTGTTGGTCTAATTTGGAACTTAGTGCAAGATCGATTTGGGCTATCTAATTAGTATTATTGAAGAGAAGTTGGGGATCAATTCCTATAATAATAACCAGTCCATTTAAAAGCTTTGACAGGCATCTTATCCCGCACTGTCCAAAAATGCCATTTCACAGTTTCGTCAACGTCACGAAACTAACTACACTTTTGAACAAAAAGAAACTATTACAGAATTGATTACATGTCTAAGTCGGTCACAAGATACCTGAATTACCGTCTGTCAACAAAGTACCTTTTCAAGTTTTTGTCCATGTACAGTATATCTCTTTCCAAGAATGGATTTACGTTGCTATGGTCAAAGTTATGGGGTACACACTTTGCCTGGTATCTGCAAACAGAAAGAAAACCCACAAGTCCGAGTCCACCTTTAAAAAACCACAACATCGTTTCAAGAAAATAGTTAGAGAGTGATTTCGACTCCAAACATTCTAACTTGGCAAACAATTTCGTAACTTAATAAATGGAAAACATCATAATGGAAGACATATGAATGGTATCCACCTTTTCAACATTTTGACACAAATTCTCATTACAATTATTTAAAGACTCGTCTTATGAAATTTCGATTGCATCACCCTTCTTTTTCCAGCAAAGAAGTAACGAATATATCAAGCCAAAAAAACATTTGATGTGAACGTGAATATATTTACTCCCTTTAATTATCAATTATATTGGGCAGCATTTTCTTTGAAGGTTTCCATCAAAAGGAACCGCATACGGGAGTCTATATAGAGGCAATAACGAAGAAGTAAAGGAAAGGGGGAAATGCTGGGAAAGAAAATGAAAGAGATGATAATGGGGCTACGTCCGAAGAAGCAGAGTCTAGCGTTGGAAACATGGCTAAGGTTTAAAATACATAACTCATTCTAGGAGAGTATTTTTTTCCAATACTGTCTATTGATTTTTCTTCTTGGAATTTTCCCCCCTTATGATTGAGGTTCCTAATGTTTCGTGAACCGGTCGAGTCCGTGATGATTTAAGACGTGTTAGCCACGTCTTGGGGGTGTATACAGGCGCCAAAATGTCATTTAAGACGGAATGATCTGAATCCCAAATTGGGATATCTAGAACGATTGATTCCACGTCAAGAATTCCAAGTCAAAAGTAGTGAAAATGCAGAACACATGATAGTTCGTTCGATTTAAAGGGTGGTTACCCATGCTGTCCGTGCTTGATTCTAATGTAAATCTGTCAGGGTAAAGTGTTATCCGTTTTATTATTACGTCAATACCTCAGTCACGACTCCAAATCGACCGATTTAGGGCTATTGGTGTCATGTAACTAACCCTTTAGTTTGGTCTGTTCCCGGTCTTAAAGCCGGCTCCAAAGCATGGCTGTGATAACCGAGAAATATTATGGTCATTGATTGGGATTCAGGTTATACCCGATTTTAACCAAGGAGACCGAAATCAGACCAAACCGAAACATATTACCCGGAATGGCGCAGAATCGGTCGGTTTGGACTAGGGTCTGGAGGTATAATACAAATTATATACCCGGGTCATATAGGAGACCGACATATAAGACTGAATATAACATTACGTTACCCTGGATGGCCAATTAATCAGTCAGTTTGGATTAAATCGGTCTGGCTTGATACCCAGTAACACCTTAGAGACCAACAACAGACCGACAACAGATTGAACAAAACATCTCGTTATCCCCGAATGGCCAAAAATCGGTCGATTTGGAGTTTGGAGTTTGGAGTCTGGATTCCGGTTTGCCCGTGTGACTGTGTAAGTTGTTCTGGTCGGTCTGGCGTCGATCTGGTGTCGGTCTGGTTTCGGTCTCGTCGGTGTGGCTATAGGGTATTGATACAAAAAGGAATTCATAGTCGATGTCAATTTGTTGAGTCAATAACTTTTCTCAAAATCTCACGCATGTCGTCTGTAAACTTGGTCAATCAATAGTCAATTTTGATGTAATTTGTGCGTCTTAAAAAAACACCTGGTGGGGGCTGTACATGTCAACATTTTTTTGACATTTTAACTGCTCTTTATCATTTTGAGAGTGTATTTTTTTCGTGACGCATTTATCAATTCTAAATTAGCTGCGATTCACTTGCAATCGAAGTACGGGACCCTCATCTGCCTAAAGACATTCCATGCGTGGATACGTATATTAAAGTAACCCCCAAAGAACTATGACAGTCGATGCCTTATCTTTTCTATTAATCTCAATATTTTAATCCACCCCTTTTCACCGTGCATCAATTTACTTCTGGTGAATCCTATATCTTCCCAGTTCTGCTACCGGTAATGAGCTTAAAAGGCAATGCGTTCCGGACTTGATTGGGCGGCATGAAATAATGCCTGTTGCACATAAAGCGTCATTTCGGATGCGCTAATGTAGCCTGTGAAGACAATTAGGCCTACTTCTAGCAATTCCAAGCAATGTGTGCCCCGTTCATTTTGCATTTAACTGGTGTATGATATCACTTATACTTGGCGTTTTTAAGTCTGCGCTATCAATGACGGAACCTTACGTCAAGGAAATGACGCATCACGATTAAATAGGCAAACAGGCATACTGCGTGGTTTCGCGAAGGTAAAAAAAAGGGTGTATTCCGTGTTTATAGATTTCTCCTCGACAAGGTATCCGCTCTTGTTAATTGTGGACAAGGCAAATGGACTATAATTAGACATTATACATGTATAAAATTGTAAATGATAATGATAGCGGGTATAACAGATATGGTCTTATTGCCCGAGGTGGCAACGAGTTGCAAATAAAATGAAAGCGTTTCAGTGTCATTCTGAGAACTATCCTCTACAAGATCGTTTAGGACGGACACTGTTGCCATGTTTATTAATGAATTAATTGTGAACACCTCAAAAATAACATCAGTCCCATGGCTTTTTTACCAATAAAAACGTAATTACACTCATTTTACTGTGCTAGGATTAGCACAGTCAATTGACACTTCATGTAGGTATACATGTAATTTGTTACCCTTTAAGCTATGCAACTGATCATGTACGAAAAAGGAAAGCATTCAGGGTTGGCAAATAATCAGCAAAATAGTAAAATTTAAGTGCTTTTAATCGTCATGCATATAATGCAAACATCACTTTTGATCTCGTTCAAACTAGTACTTTTGCATGTTTGTGCGTGGATAAATTTTACCATCAAACGCAAATAGATTTTCATGAAAAAAAGCACTTACAGAGAGAAAAATAAATCATCTACATATCTTCGCATCGATTATCATCACTTTATATTCTTGACATTTCATGAATACAAACGACAAAGAAGATGCTTAGGGCGAATAAACTACGTATTCTATTGCAGAAAGACTTCGCTTGATTTTTGTACATATCAAACTCATTTTGTATTTGACATACATTTGTTCATTGGGTTCAAAATAACACCCAATACGTCAATTTTTAACACAACAAGAATTATTGACACTCAACACGAATAGCCTCTTTTCTTCGTTGCCATGGTTTGCGTATTGATTTATTTTTTGGAGCGTAGATTTAAAGAACATGGTTTCAAATTCAAAGTTATCCTAATTTATTCATTTACCAATTCATTTTTGATTTACTTATCAATTCATCTGATGTTTTATTGAAACCTAAATGTTCTTCATTGAAAGATCATTGCGTTTAGTATTTTGCTTTGAGAGTAGATGTGACGAAAACATACTGAAGATTCAACATTCAAGGTTCAACATTTTCCTTCTGTATTTATTAATCTATTAATATACTGATTTATCAAATATTTATTCAATACTTTATCGGTTTGTTGAAATATATTTTCTAAAGGATAAAATATAACCAGATGCATATCTTAAACAGTATTTTACCATGCAGCCTATCATCAAGAATACGGTGAATTAATGATAATATGTTATATTAGATGTCAACGGCTAATGATTTGTGAGAATTGGAAATGTTACCAACAAATTAAGTAATAATGTAAGTATCAGGAAAACCCTTAGAGGGGTATAGTTTAGGACAGAAGTATGAAAAGAAAGCGCATTTTAACCAAAACAAAACACGATTGATCAAACTGATATACACATTGTTTTAAAGTGGGACATCGATTGCGTTTCCATTAGCATCTGAATGGGTGATGGTAGCGACAGCTACAGGTGACGAGCTATCTTTCTTTGAGTCCTGTACATTCGCATTTGCGTTCTTATTAGCTATGACCAAAGAGGTGTCTTTGACCATCTTATGATTCTGCTCGGCTGAATTCTCGACGCTACTTCGGTGATCTGAATGCGAAGGACGTGGTGTGGTGTTATAACCATTGCCCAAACGTCCTCTAAGCCGCTCCTGTCGGCTCGTGTTGCTCATGGCAGTATGGTCGTCGCTACTGTCCGCCTGCCGCATGGACAACCCTCGGCACTTGTAACAGAAGAGAATGGTCTTGAAGGCATTTCGGAAGCTTCTATTCTGTGCGTAGATGATCGGATTCAGAGCACTGTTCACATACCCGAGCCATACGGTAAAGCTAAAGAGCGTCGGAGGCACGCAACGTCCGCAGAAGGGATCCACCACGTTCAAAATGAAAAATGGTAACCAACAGCCGATGAAGACACCGACAATGATGGCGAGAGTTTTGGTTGCTTTACGCTCTCGACGCATCGAACCCTGGGCCTTCTTGTCCGTGCCCTGTATGCGCTGTCCCGTGTTGTTGTAGGCGGCGATTTGTCGCGCTTGTCTCCTCGCAACAATAAATATACGTGCATATGTATAACCCATGATAAATATGGGGATGAAGAAAGAAATGACCGATGATCCTAACGCGTACCACTGGTTAATAATCAATACGCAAAATGTAGGTTCTTTGTAGAAAAAGTCGAACTCCTCATCGTCTAAAGTATAATCTACGTGGAGTCCCAACATAACTGGGAGCACACTTATAAGGAAAGACGTAACCCACACGACGACGATTAAAATAATAGCGTTCGTGGCGTTCACTCGCTGATAATAGCTGAAAGGTGATGTAATGGCCCAGTACCGGTCCAGAGAGATTAAGCATAAGTTTAAAATGGATGCCGTACTGAGCATAATATCAATCGAGATATAAAATCGACAGAACACCTGCCCGAACGGCCAGTAGTCGCCAAGGACGATGAAACAGGCGTTGAAGTCCATGACGAACAGCGCGAGTAGTAGATCCGAGATCGCGAGGGAGACGATGAAGTAGTTGGTCACCGTGCGGAGTTTTCGGAAGACGAGGACGGATGCGATAACCAGCGCATTTCCACCGATTGCGAGTACGACAATGATATAGAGGATGATACCGACGATGATGTACCCGGTGAGGCTATAGCCTCCACCGCCTTCACCGTCGTCTGTTCCGTTTGTTAAATTATTCGTCATGGTAACGATTTTTATTAACAGTCCGAACAGCAAATATCTACCAACGCTTTAAATGAATCAATCCACGACTTCACTCTGTAGACATATCATGTGACCGCCTTTATTTTCATCCCTCACATGTTCCTGCGATGAAAGAGTAGAATCAAGGAATAAAATCAACACGATTTTCGAAATCTTGTAAATGTACGCACCTCCTTCCTCAATTAGCTTGCGTCGAATAAAAACTTACCACGACAAGACGACGCAGTTCACGTAAAATGAGGCTCACACGCAATACCGCCTTTTCTTGACGGGTTATTTTCATAGGATCCTTTTATCCATTTGTTGAGTTATCAATAACACCTCTCCTTGAAGACACGTTACGGAAACGCGGTCACCCATTTTATCATTTCTTTGGCCGCTAATGGATGTTCTGCCTCCAGCGAACGCTTCACGACTGTAGACAAAATCAAATTACAGGATAGGGCCTCGGTATATCCTCCCGGGCTGAACACCGTTGATCTAAATCCCCAAGAATGGTGTCATGTCAGCCGAGTCTAAACTGAAACACAGATCGAATTCATTGGTTCTATTTCCCTTTTTTTTGGAGAAGTAATCATGGATCAAACTGATTTTGATGGTTATCCTCTTTACAGATGAAATAAACTGGTGAAAGTTTCTTGCCAACCACTCCTTTATTCTCCAGCGAGCCTTATTACCTTTTCGCTTAATTCAAATCTTTGCTTGTTAAAAACAAAATGTGAAACAATCCAATTAGACGATTTCCCCGTTGAATGTTTCCTCCACTTCACGCATAAACATGAAGAGGTGACTATAAATATATGAACAACAGCGTCAAATTCTGAAATTTATCCTTTCAATTCAACTTCAAATGACTTGAAGGACGAGTATCCACATCGCTTGCTCATAATTCCAAAATAAGAACCGTCGTCTCCATGCTAGCAACGAGCGAAGACGAAGTACGTGTTTGCCGTACGAGGTCTTTTTCCTTCTCTGAACACACTCAAGATCAGATCACGTTTATAAAAGACTTCCAGTGAGCGCGTCCCACGGGCTTTGAGCCCTGCTTTTTTTTTCTTTCACAAAGCCAATGCTCCCTTTCTCCTGTCGATAGACTTTCGCTGAATGGCGCACACCTTGTGAGTAGCTGAAGTACGTTCTTCTGTTAAGTTCACTTAAACAACGTATTGTTAGGAAGTCTGATAAACACTCTCGCTAAATGAACCCAAATAATGGTTTGGATCACCTTTGTCGTTGAAGGGGGTAATTGAAGACGCGTTTCCTTTGATCTTCACTAACAACACAAATAATCAGTCACGGTTTTCAGGAAAACCAACACTTCATGATCATTTCATAAAATTATGTTTTCACCTCACTTTAACCACGTAAATCCAACTATCTTTGAAAGACACAAAGCTCCATACAATCACATCACTGATGATTATTTTGATGATATTGAACTCCTTAGTCGGACGATAACGACAGCAATCTAAAGCGGATTTTAAGTCAAACAGAGAACATAGGTTTCCTCAAATCTTTTTCAATCCAAGTAGAAAATTAAATAAAATCTTCGATTTGTGCCTTTTTATAATATTTCTTTGTCGACTGCTCAGTAACGCTTGATAGGTGTCAGATCACAAGTGTCAATTGGTGTTCCCTCCTTGTCACTTATTAACACAAATTAGTGAATTCGCTGATCAAACGAATTACCAATGACGAAATACAAAACAAGTAACAATGCAGTGATGTGCGGTCAATGTTGACGAAATCGGCGATAAAAGTCAAACAGTTTAGTTAATTTGACGTTTAACATTCATACGTGTTGTTAAGACAGTCAGAAATAATCACATCAGTCAACCATTTAATGACAGGGCAACCTTTATTACTTATACAAACCGCACATTAGACGATTGTCTGAATTTTCGTCACAAACGTTTTCCCGCATGACAAAATGTAGTTTATTGGCGTAGATGTCAGTTACAACAACAACAACAAACGTCAAAAAATTTCACAGAAGTAATGCTTCCGTCACGCTTCTCTCGGACTACATTAACTATGATTTCGTCAGTAAATTTCACAGAAGATGATTGCCTCGTGACTCTTTGATTTGCTTCTCGCCGTCTCGGAATCCGATGCATCAACCCTAAAAACGATGATTCGTCGAACTAATCACCAGTTCGCACGTTAATAAATGATGATGCAGAGCCTTCGTTCGCTTTAAACCAGTCGGGGAGCTTTAGGGTGTCTCTTGACGAATAGTGCGATCATCGGAATCGGGAATACATTATCTAGAGGATACCTTCCGAGCGACTCATCTCATCATCATGTCCCCACGAAGCAGTGAGCTTTTCTCTTGAAATTAAATTTGAAATTGAAGCAAGTCCCAAAACTTGTAGTGACAGAGTCAGTTATGTAGATGATGAGTTATGAGTCAGGTTTTTAATGAAATTCTTCTAATCATCAAACTTGAAGCGAACGAACCCAATATGCGGATAGAAAATGATGGCTCCTACTTTTAATGAAGTACTTCTAATCATCAACGACTCCTGATGTTAAACGACGTATCGTCGTCGTACTCGGAAGACAAAGTAGAGCGTGAAGCGATGTCGTCGTCGAAGTGGAAAATTGATAGAGCTTGGGGACCTCTAACTGATTTTAAAAATCCTTCTCCTCCTCCTCACATCTGCATATCAGGGCCTCCATGGATGGTCAAACTTCTGTGTTGTCTTGTCAAATACCCGTTGTCGTGATGTCTTGATGCCCCAGTGCAGCACCTAATCGATAGAAACGAATAAGAAGATAAAAGACAAACATGTCAGATTACAGAATACAAATAAATAATCACACACGGAAACGTATACGTATATTGGTATGCTTAGCTAAGCACAATCAACAAATCAGAAACGCTCTACCTTACGGTTTGTTGCAGATCAGCTGACTTTTAACCAACCAAGCAGCCAATCAGCTGCGAGAAAAGTAGATTAAGTATGGACGCTAATTTGCATAAAAACAAATGTGTTGGCCAATCAAGTGTCATGTTTCCAAAGACATGCGCATAGTCGATTATGCATTGTTCTAAGTGGTTTAGGAAATATGTTGTGTAAGGAAGGGAAAGAAGGTGTCGTCGCGAATTGTCTAAATTGAATGACCGTGCATGGAGAGATTTTTGAAACAGAAGAGCGCAACAAACTTGGGGAGGAAGAACAAGATATACGAGAACAATTTAAGGAAATATAAAAGGGAACGAATAAAATGAAATTAAACAAAATGTTTATGTATATTTGAATTCATTTCATTCATACTTGTTTAAAATTAACGCAAAGTAATTTACGAATATATATTTTAGCAAAACAGATTATGCCTATTAAAAAGATTGAAATCTGACCCACTAAAAGCGAGAAAAAAGACCTATGTAAAAGTAAAATTATCTCTTTTAATAGGACGTAATTATGTATAAATCTTATAAAACTTTGCAGTCACACTCGAAAGGCAATTATTTATTTAATAATATTCATACAGGATGACAATATCAGCCAAAGCTGTTTTTCACATTTTGTCTTTTAAATATTATACAAAATAACAATGAAATAAGTAAAAAATAAAAAAGTTATCACAGGGATATCAAATAAAATGAAATTGCATGAAATAATCATTGACTAGAGACATGGACGTAAAGTGTATAGATTAACCCATAATCACTGGAAATGTAATATACTCTTTCGCCAATAGAATCAGAATCTCACCGAGTACACTCGTAGGAAACACAACACAACACACCCATAAATTATCAACACACCTGAATTACCAGTTACAGAACCAATATAGGATCTCACCAACAACTCCGACAATTATGCACACAATATGATTATGCACATATAATAAAAAGAAATCAAATTACACAAAAAAGTTGTATCAATTCAAGTAAATTATTATCATTTCATTGTCAAACATTCTTTTCTCTCATTTTCCACAATCAGACATAGTTTTGTTCATTTGAGTGAATAATAATAATATTTTCATCTCTGTCCAGCAGTCCTTTGGAAATATATTAGAATTTTGAAAGAGAAATTATAAAAACAAAGAGAAAATATAAACAGACAACAGTGAAATAAAAAGCGAGAGATATCATCACCATTGGGCAGAAGAGTAGAGTAATGCGGAAACATGAATCAGTCACACATGTATAACGCGAATGGACACGACAAAGAATACCAACGTAGCTTGATGAATTAAAGAAGTAGGAAGCACGTGTACAGTCGTCTATATTGAGCTTAATGACACGAAAAGTAAATAAATGTTCAAGGCTAAGGAAGAATGAATATTATAATAAAGAGTGATAAAGGAATGATTATTTGGAGTGGAGGAAGTACTGTATGCATAGAGAATAAATTAGTGACCGAGACATTGGGGGATATGGAAAGAGGTGGTTAGGGAACTTAACCAGATAAAGAAAGATGGAGGGGGTAGAGAGAGAGAGAGAGAGAGAGAGAGAGAGGGTGAGAGAGAGAGAGAGAGAGGAGTCAGATATGAAGAGCATGTGGGGAAGAGATAATTATTATGAAGAGTGAGATACAAGAAGTAAGTGTAAACGATTATCGCTTAATAGAAGATGAAAAGAGAGAGAGAGAGAGAGAGAGAGAGAGAGAGAGAGAGAGAGAGGACGGGGGATGAAAGGGAATAAGGAAGGAGAAGAGGTAGAGTGAGTGAGGAAGAACCAGAAACAGTGACAGGCATACACAGGGAGAAAGAGGGAGGAAGAGAGAGAAAGAGAGAGAAAGAGAGAGAGAAAGAGAGAGAAGGGAGAGAATGAATAGGGAAAGTGAAGAGACTAAGTATATGGTTGGCGGTAGACCAATAACCCTTGGGAAATGATGCTTGGAAGAGCTAAGATAGAGCCTCGGGGATGGTACATGAACGAAGCACCAACAAAGAAGCAACGATTAAACAAAAACCAAGGTAGACATATTTATCATTGACCGAGCATGAAGCCCAACAAAGACGAAATATCTTCAAGCAATATCTTATTAGAACATTAAAACATGTAAAAAAATCAAAACAAAAACATCTATGATACCGCCGT